GCCACATGTGTGCCAGTTTTCAGGCAGCATCTTTGGTAAAGACAGTCGCGGTGTGTAGTCTTACTTCATGACTCCAGCCAGAGGGTACAATGAAACGATGTCGGAAGTTATTCGTATCATCCAAGAAGAACAAGTTTGGCCAGACCGACCGGGTGCCTCCAGCAGACACGAAACATTCATTAGGCGCCATTGGACATGCTTTTGGTTCAATTGATAAACATGCCACAGGTGATCTTACGTATTTAAACTATTTTCAGGACACCAGGACAAACTCTCACGCTCAAATTGAAGGAACCATGAAGACTTTCTTTCGTCCCTCCTGCCGCCGCGATGCTTCCCAGCCTCATTGCGGTAAATGGTTAAAAAAAAGGGATTCACAGAGCTGCTGGATTTTGATTCATAGCGGCTCAGTTCTATTTGTGCATGTACAAACGACAACGCGTAAACAAAAGAAAGACCAGGGCCTAACACTCACCAGATGCTTCAATGATGAAGTTCTTATGATAGGGACTTATCAATTCAAGAAGGGACTTGTGGGACAATAACAATCAAGTTCGGAGTAGTTTGGAAGGCCCTAAATTCTCCATAAATCATCATCATTTATGTTGCATTGATGTACGCTAAGGTCTAACGCTCTTTGGGGTTAAATCAAACATTAATTAAAGAGACAGGAATGGCCGAGCGTTTATTTAAACAATAAAGACCATCATTGTGAGAGAACAGTGTTCTACGCGCAGTGGGAGGGTCGTCAATTTAAGGTCGTGTCCACGGCCTCGCTGTAATGAAGTTTAGAGCTAGGGGACCTCGGGTTAAGCGTGGTCACTTGACTGATGCCACAGTTGGCTTCACCTATATGATTTTTGTAACTGCAGCAGAATAAAGGTCCGAAAGGCAACGCTTGCAGGCATCGAACAGGCGATCCAATTCATATAATGACCTTCTCCGCCGTTGCGACCGCGCGTCACTGGAGCATCATAGTGTAGTTTTCGTTTCAAGTTCCGCTGCCAGGTCGTTCCGAAGAATTTACTTTAAGCTTAAAGAATGATTATTGCCTAAATAAGGAACTTGAAATTGCATGGGAAAATGTGGCAATGCACCGATGAGTCGAAACGGTCGCAGGTGCCTCATGGAGTGGCAGAAAGCCTACGAAAGGCGCATTCGTGCTGGGCGTATGATAAATTAAGCGAAATTGGTATTTCATTATACTTTTATAGAGAAATCTGTGATTAATTTGAGCGCCTTATCTGTCACAAACGAGGTATTTTGTAGTGCCATTAATTTTAACAGGTATACTTTGGACTGTGAAATAAGGGAGAAATTGAAATACGTATAGCTTGTAGTCTGAAACAATTCACCCAACCCCATTCCGCAGCACTAAGCATATTGCCATCATATTAGCTCTCAAAAAGTAATAACTGCATTCATTCCGTTAAAAACTTATAATAGCCACGTGGACCTCTGGCTAAGCCATGTAAAGCAGGTTTAACGTAGCGCCTGGACACTCGATTATGAAAGTCATTTAAGTAAACTAAAACAAATTGCGAAATCGGTTATGCGATGACTAGTTAGCAAGGCAAGAAACATATTTATGACTACTATCCTACTTTCAATAGTTTAATAATCTGACATTTCGGATTCCTGTTCGAACCCATCACCAGAGACAAAAGCAGATACGGGTCTGCTCTTGTCTCTGCTGATGGGTTCGAGCAGAAATCCGAAAACGTCAGGCTAATAAAGCTCTTCTCCCAGCGATCATTTGTCCTTCTTCAAGACTACTGCCTGGGACTCGTCCCTTCGCTTCTATTGGTGAGTAAACTTCCTGCAGGCGTGCAGACGTGCGTGCGGGAAGGCTGCCTTGTCTTGTTGATGGACTGGGGGCCAGTAAACCATGATTCCAGTAGAACCCGGCTCACGCGGTTGTCCCGGCGATCGTGTTTCCTTCTTCAAGACTATTTCCTGGGACTCGTCTCTTCGCTTCTATTGGCAATGTATTTGGGCCTGATGCGCTCCGATCGGCCCGACGATGGGAAACCTTCGCCCTTCGGGTGGCCTCTACGTATTCGCAGATCCGGTTTCTGCACAGGTGTCTCGAAAATAATGTGTTACCGAAATGTGTTTCATACAAGCCCCCGGTTAATACGGATTTGGCGAAACGAGCAGTATTTCAGCACGGCAGAAGGATGATTCGAGTGCTCCTCCAAGATTGCCACGCAAGAATTCGCAAATACCGTCAAAGGATTGACCAAGAAAAGACCAGATGCTGTGAGTTCATGGGCGAGATCGGTACAAATCTGCTTCTGCAGAGGGTGACTGAACAAGCCCGCGTACAGAGAGTGGTACGCGACGCAGCACTGTAGAAAGAATTCCGAAAGATGCCCAATTCAACGTCGCCCAGAAACGACAAACAAGTGCACAACATGTTGTCAAAGGAGCTGACGACGGATCAGATGCAGGTTTTACGGCACGAAGCTTCATGTAACGCGGCTGACGCCAAACCTGTTAACATGATTGCAGCAGTGGAATCAATCCTTAGTCAGACGTAGGCAATGAGGAGAGTAAGATACCAGGTGTCGTCTTTCCTGATGGCCCACAGACCGCGGGAAGTGCTTTCCAAGGTCGAACGTGATGCGCTTAGACAACTCAAGGCCGACAAAGGACTGGCCATCGTGCCAGCGGACAAAGGGTGCGTCACAAATGTCCTGGGCAGGACAGACTACCTTCAAAAAGCTAAAGGTTTACTTAAGGACCGACAGTCCTATGTCCCATGAGCAGCGAACCCTGTAAAAAGCGCTGACACGTGAGATTAATGCAACAGTGTTGGCCTTGGAGAACTCAGGTGCAGTAACACCGACCGACAGGCGCATGGCGAGACACCAAGATACGGTTTTCGCCCGATTCTATGGCCTCCCTAAGGTGCACAAAGACGGCGCTCCTCTTCGACCCATCGTCTCGCTCAAAGGGACTCCAGCGCACGGACTAGCTAAGTGGCTGTTCCGGCGTCTCAAGTTCCTGACCGCTGCGTCAGACACCACGATCTCTCTGCCAGCACAAATCCTGGAGAAACTCGAAAGGGTAAGCCTCCATCCAAATGAGGTCATGGTATCTTTTGATTTTACATCCCTTTTTACTTCTATTCCCCAGGACATAGCGATCGAGACAATCTAGCTGCTACTACAAAATCCGTATCTGCTTTTGTCTCTGAGGATGATTTCGAGCAGAAATCCGAAACGCCAGGCTTATAAAGCTGCTGTCCCAGTGATCGTGCCTCCTTTTTCATTAGCTAGACTCCCAGACTCATTAAGGGATCCGCTGAGGATCAGGACCTCTAACATTTGCGCTTTGCAGACTAAACCTTGATAACACGGGATTCTGGACATTTGGTTAGTGCCCATATTGGACTCATGCGAAAACCCTTCGTGCGAAATTGCATCCTCATTAGCTCAACGCGTTTATTGAATGGGCACATAGTCGTTATTCTCCAGGCGTCTGTGGTTCTCCGGTGCGACCGATAATTTGATTATTGGAGATAACGGCAATGTCCTGATCTGGGAAATTGCCCCATGTCCTTTCTTTATTTATTTGTCCACCGCTCATACGCATATAAACTTGTACACACCATTACACTAATGCTAGTGTACTGTGTTGCCTGATGCATTACCGCGAAGCAATCTATAACGGTTGACTTAGCAGTCCTCTGAGCAGATTTACAATGACCCCTACATGCGCATTAACGCACTTAGAAGCCTGGCGATATCAGTAAGCATACCGACAAAAACAAGGGCGGCTGGACTGACACTGTCTAATTTATAAGCAGCCATTAGTGCCAGTAACACCCGTGTCCAAGGTTTAGACAGCCGTAGATTGATTATGAAATGTTTGGCCACCAAATGTCAAGTCAGTCATTCCAACCAATAATCACGGATCCGCTTTTACCACCCTCAGCTATCTGGAAAAATTGATGCGGCGTTGCCGCATTCGACATGTGCAAAAAATATGAAGCGCAAGAAGCGCTGAGTTATTATCAATCCACACGTGCAGAGTTATGATTGAGAGCTTATTTCTGACGGAAGGGTCCGGCCAAATTGGCGGGGGGTGGTCTTAACTAACATTCGGGAGTAGCGACAGTGGCTTTCTGGAAAATTCAGACATTCGTGTTTGGATTATTGCCAGTTTCTTGTACCCCTTAGCCTGGTTCGTCATGAAGATATTTACCGTCTGACAATTTAGCCCATAGAATAACCCTGGAAGACATATTGACTCATATATACCTACCGTGTCCACATTAGCTCCTGGGATGTAAGGTGATGGTCACGGTCTTCCATATCTTCTGGCTGTCAGCACTACTGTTTGTCGAGGTTTGGTCGTGTAAACGCTCCTTGTGACAGCCACTGGGTTACTTAAGAGGATAAGGAGACTCAGTCAAAACGGAGAGGCCACGGAGTGAACCGTGTGTTAATTCGCAGCGCATGGCCAACATAGTGGAACCTACAGAGTTTCACTCAGTCCGAACCACTAACATTAGCAAGCCTGCTTAGACACTGGCTGCGTTAGGATAATAAAGAAGGCGTATGCAGTGCTGGAAGCCCGCTCAGGGAAGCGCATGCGAACTATTACTTGATGTATTCAGGCTGTGGAATAATTACTAGGCCCCCGGCAAGGCATGGTTACTTTCTGGATTAAAATAGCCTGGTGGGCGCCAGTACGTGGTGTGCGTAAAGTCAGAGTAATCGCACCTACTAAAATTGTTTTAGGACGCAATTCATATAGTGTCAGACAAGTTAGGCTGCAAGACCAATTCTCGCCTTTTTAATTAAGTGCTATCAAACTCAAACAGCGAAAGTATACACAAACAAGCCCCGTTCAACCGTGGTAAATGTCATCCAATCCGACCTAAGGTCATATCAGCGGTCGGTAGCAGATTGGTTACCAGCAAAAACGGTCATTTTAAGGCAGTGTCTACTGCTAACAGATCGCACTAAGTGCACCAGCGAACATCAGAAATGACCGTACTGAAGGGGGTATCATGTGCGCTGTTGGGTCTACTGGTCTCTGTTTCTGGTCAACCGAAAGGTTGTGGTTTTATTCCAACACTAGCGCGCCTGGATTGTCACCCGGAGCCAGCTGCAACCGAGGAAAATTGTCTATCACGCGGCTGTTGCTGGGAGAAGCCCAACAATCCTGACGTGAATGCTTGTTACTTTCCGGCCGAGTACTCTGCCTACTCTGTGCGAAACACATCCTCCGAGCCCGGACACTACACATTCTACCTGCAGAAGCAGCCCACCAGCGTTCACCTCGCCAATGAGCTTTCGGAGGTGAGGGCAGATTTCATTTACGAAACAGCCAGACGTCTGCGTATACGCATCACCGATCCACAAGTGGATAGGTGGGAGCCTCCTGTCGATATCGACCCACCAGTAAATTTCCCTCCAAAAGCTGTCAACTACCGGGTGAACTATGACCCAGAGAGATTTGGTTTCAGGGTTTATAGAAAGATGGGGGTGGACGAAGAAGACAAACTGCTAATCGATTCAACCGGTCTCCTCGCCAGTAGTCTGATGGCAAACAACCGATTCTGGCAAATTGCTTTTAAAATTGAAGCTCAACGCGGTTTCGGGCCAGGCGAACGTAGAACCGAATTTCCCCTTCGCCTACAGAGTTGGGAAAGGATTGCTCTGTGGTCTCGAGACCAGCCGCCAGTGGAGCACGCTAATCTCTACGGTGTACACAATTTCTTCCTTGGTTTGGCTGTCGATGGAACTGCATTCGGAATCTTTTTGCTTAACTCAAACGCCCAGGAGGTTGCATTCCAGCCCATGCCATCAGTCACCTACCGGACACTCGGCGGTATCCTGGACTTCTTTATTTTTGTAGGCCCAGAACCCCAGGACGTCATCTCGCAGTATTTAGATCTCGTTGGACGTCCTCCCTTGCCTCCGTACTGGGCCCTTGGATTCCATCTCTGTCGTTATGGGTTTCGTGACCTGGCGGATATGGAAGCGACGGTATCTAGGAACAGGGATGCCCACGTGCCACTGGAGGTTCTCTGGGCTGATATAGATTTCATGGACGGTTACAAAGACTGGAGCGTAGACCCTGTAAGATTTGCAGGCTTTGGGAAGTTCATAAAGGAAACGATTCGCAGCCAGAACGATATGCGTACAGTAATCATGTTTGATGCTGCTATCCATGCGAGTTCCGACTCCGAGTACGAAGTCTACTGGGACGGCCTAAGAAGAGGAGTATTTATAAATGACAGTCGAACGGGAAGACCAATCCAAGGGGCTTCGTGGCCAGGTATCACGGTTTATCCGGATTACGCTAAGCAGGAAACAATTGAATGGGTCTATGACAGTGTCGCTAAGTTCCATCAGGAAGTTCCCTTTGATGGGCTCTGGATCGACATGAATGAGCCCTCAAATTTTCATGACGGCTCAGTCGATGGGTGCGACTGGAACAGCCAACTGGATCACCCACCCTACCAGCCGAGAGTCCTCGGAGATTTCCTGTACTCCAAGACTATTTGTCCGTCTGCACTGCATGAGAACGGGACCCACTATGATCTGCATAATCTCTACGGCTACATGCATGCCAAGGCGACAAGAACGGTCCTGCGACGCCTGCTGCCTGGACAGCGCCAGTTTGTGCTGAGCCGTTCAACATTTGCTGGATCCGGCCGCTACACATTCCATTGGACAGGTGATAATTTTGCTACCTGGACAGACCTCGCGGCATCTATACCACAGATGCTCAACTTCAATATTTTTGGAATACCTATGGTAGGAGCTGATATTTGTGGATTCATTGGAAACACGACGGAGGAACTGTGCATCAGATGGAGTCAGCTGGGAGCTTTTTACCCTTTCTCAAGGAATCATAATGCTGCAAATACCAATGATCAGGATCCCGCCAGTTGGAGTGGTGCGACTGTTGACATTATTCGGGAGGCTCTCAAGACCCGCTACCGCCTGATACCCTACTTGTACAGCCTCTTCTACAGAGCTAGATTAAATGGCATGACTATCGCTCGAGCCTTAGCTCTCGAGTACCCCCGAGATCTGACCTGCCATTCTATTGACAAGCAGTTTCTCTGGGGTTCCTGTCTTCTAATTACACCCGTATTAACCGAGGGCGCGAGAGGAGTCTACGGCTACTTACCGGAGGGAGAGTGGATCGGGCTGAATGATCAGGTGCGTCACCAAAGCAAGGGAGAGTGGTTTTATTTTCAGGCGCCATTGGAGCAGATCCCCCTACATGTAAAGGCCGGCTGTGCAATTCCACTTCATGTGTCTGCGCAGACAGTCAACCAGGCGCGCGAAAGTGGAGTCGGTATTTTGGCTGTTCTTACGGAGGAGGACGATGGCACTCTGGCGACCAAATCTGCAGCAACTGCACGAGGAGAACTCTTCTGGGATGATGGCATCAGCGAGACTCAGGCGTATACTTATGTTGCCTTCACTGTGGCTAACAGAAAATTAACTATTCTGCCGAGAGTCATTCGGTTACATCCCGAAGACGAGCTCCTTCACCCGCCGGTGCCATTAGCCTTCATCAAGATCATTGGCATAAGTAAGCAACCGAAGACAGTATGGTTCAATTCGGAATCTTGCGCTTTCTCCTATGACGCCGGGACACGAACACTGCTTGTCGAGGGTCCTCCATTTGTCCACTTGAATACGACAACTCAGGTTGCCTGGGTCTTCTGAATAAAAAAGCATCAAAGAGACATTTCATCAGCATATACAATCTGATAGGTTTTGACTGTTCGCATTTCAGTTTGCACCTGAGGGCAGACATATTTCTTTTACGTATCAGTCAACTATGCGAAATTTTAGCATCAAAGACAAATTCCAAATATCGACGAAGGCGTGACTTAGATACAAATAAATGCGATTCAACATCTTTTTCGCTGTCTTTCTGCACTTGACATTTACAATCTATAGAACGACCGGAATCGATAATTGCCTAAGTATCCAAGACATTGAAATCAGCCAACAAATTGCGAATAACCTACCTACTCACAAAGTAGGCTTCATTAGGTTGACGCAGTTGCAGATTAAAGCGACTGGTTTGTAGTGCTTCCGAATTGACAGCATGAGATAAAATTAAAGCCAACTGGCCTGTCGCTCAACCAGGAATATAAAACTTTGTAAGGTGTTTGGACACACAAAGTGGTCCTGCGCGGTCGTCGTTTTAGAAGATAACCCGTGGAGTTAGGAGTCCACGCATTTGGTACGAGAAGACGCGACGTCAGCCTTATCAGACAACGTCTCCGCGTTAATCGCATGTAATCTTGCTTTGTCTTGACATTATAGTATAGCGGGTGTTGAAATAGTAGGTGGGACAGATGAATCGCAAGCCCATCAAAAAGCAAACAAATGGATGCTCCAATTACCATCTTGGTACGCCTTTCATCAAATATTTACTTGTGGGGTGCGGTAAAGAATGCGTCTTTACAGATGTTTTTGCAGCATCGAATACATAGGGCGCTGGAGTTCAAAGAATACATGCCTGCAAACCATAAAGCAGTCGAAGGACGACCGAAAAGTCTACCGGGGAGGACGTGGTTATGTAGCCGCACCTGGGGGATGACGTTCTGTTGATCTACTCAATTATTCTGAGTTGGTGTGATTAAGTTGGCATGGCGTTGCTGTGCGTTGTGGTATGTGTTCTGTTGGCTGCCTGGTTTCCTTGGTGCCGTGTCTACATTTTGGTCCAATTCCGGTGGTCCTTCCGGATTTTTGGCCTTTCGTCTCCTAAATTTCGCGTTGGATGTTTCGGGCCTAGGGTTGCGGCTAAGGGTTAGGGTAGGGGTTACGGTCAGGGGTTTGGGACTAGAGTTAGGGGTTATGGTTAGCGATTAGGGTTAGGGGTTAGGACAACCGCCCTCAATAGCTTTTCTTTTGTATGCAATTATTTGACCTCGTCGCCTGTGCGTTCCCCAGTCCCACCTGTAAGAACCCCATTACCAACGGTCCCCTGGTACGGGTGGCTGGGCTTTATTTACCTCAGGGGCAACTATAAAACTACATCTAACCTCTACCGAACAACGCCTACGCAGATAAATTTAGGACGCAGTTTTCGATAATGACCTTACCCTGATCACATGAAGTATCCCTAGCTTACTAGCGAAGTCTGGCATGTACTCACTAAACGGCAGAGATAACCAAAACCTTAATGGGAAACGAACAACACACGCTCTTGACGGCACCATGATCAAGCACCAATAAGAGAGAATGGAAATCACACGGATTAGAGTCCCTTGAAGTTTTCCTTAAAAAAAGAATTGATTGTTGATGGCATCCCTCAGCACTAATAGTCCCAGATAATGTCTGCGGCTCTCAGGGCAACACTGCTTTTTGATTCCACCAAATACACTGCTTAACTTCGCTTCTAAGAGTACTCTGCTTTGGCGTGCATACTGATGATTGGCCAGGAAACGCCCAGAGTTTTACACACATGATTAACGTGAAAGAGGTATTTCTTGTCATTGGTAATCATTGTAATCAAATGAATGCCTTTACGGCAATATTTCAAACATAATTTCAGGCCCTTCCTGTTGTCATTCAGGCAAATCAATTTGCACAACAATTACTTACTTCATCACTTACAATACTCATGATCTGATACCAACAGTGTATCTATCGGCACCTTATACCCGGGAATTTCTTTAAGCCTTAGACAGCGATTCTGGTCTTCATATTCCAATTTTTCGTTTGTTTTGGTCGTTCTTCATCATTCCTGTTAACATTAACCCTTTCAGAGGGACCGAACAGTCCCTGTGTGCTCTTTCAGAGGGAAAACATCCATTGCATGCTTCCGAAGATGGATGATTGCCCTACGCAGTGCTTTTAAATTAAAACGAAGAAGCCGAGCATCCCACGAAGCCTTCTTTTTGGTATAACCCATTGCATTTTTCCTGCAAAAATGTTCATGGTTTTATGATTCTACACTTTAAGGCATACGCTAAACTTAACCAATCTTGTAATAGAAATTTTCATAGCTTTTCTCACTCAAACCATCAGCCTTTGATTTATACTCCACAAACAGGTCCTGTAACGTATTCATAGAACCTTCGAAGCCGTAATTTCATTCGATGTTGGCGTAGGATAGAATGATGGCATCTTAGACTCGCGATCGCGGGTGGAGATAATAGATTTATAATAGCAGCGAGGTGGGACGACAGAGAATGCGAGTAGATTGATACAGTACTGTTTCGGGCTTATTGTGCCTTCATTCAGCCAATAATAACACTGACCACCAGTAGCTGGGACCAGAGTGAAGGCACAATAAGCCCGAAACAGTACTGTATCAATCTACCCGCATTCTCTGTCGTCCCACCTCTCTGCTATTATGACTTGGCCGACTTCGGCCTGGTAATTGGTTGCCTGTTCGTGACCTTTGCCACCCATACTGAGCTTGTTTGCTTCGTGAAGCCAATAGATCTGTGTGCGCCCATTCCTGATTGATAAATACCCGATCTGCAGCGACAGAGAATGGCAGGTGGCTAGGCACTAATGAATTTCGGTTCGATGAAGTGCTTATGACCCATCTGGTAGACCCCAGTGGTGGATCAACTGCGTCAGGTGCGCCTGTGCGCATGTTTGTGTTTCTGGTCCCAGCTGCTGGTTGTCAGGGTTATGATTGGCTGAATGAAGGCACAATAAGCCCCAAAGAGTACTGTATCAATGTACCCGCATTCTCTGTCGTCCCTCCTCGCTGCTATTATGACTTGGCCGACCTCGGCCTGGTAATTGGTTGCCTGTTCGTGACCTTTGCTACCCATACGGAGCTCGTTTGCTTCGTGAAGCCAATAGATCTGTGTGCGCCCATTCCTGATTGATAATAAATTTAGTTAGAAATAGCACCTGCGAGTGCGGGCTTCAAAGAGGCAATTCAAATGTGCGCACACTTGCGCCCCTCTCGACAAAATTCTATCTATAGTAGTTCAGTTGGATGTCCACTAATGATCGGCTTTATTTCGCCTTTCTATCGAAGTTGTTAGCATTTAATTTTTCGAGTTTGGTTTATTAGCACTTTCTTGACAGAGAAATAAATTTCATGATAAAGATATCCTCTGCCCTATTCTCTGATTTCAGCGAAGCATGCCTTCAGTCCTATAACATGGAAATTCTTACATTTTCTTTGCTTGGCATCTCTTATCTTATTCTGGAAATCAACTTCACATCAGCACAATATTAGCGCCAAATGTGAAGTGAAGCTTTATTGGATCCCGCAATTCTACATACCTTGCTGGAAATGTGATGAAGAAATAAAATGCTCCGATTGGCTAATCGAATACAATGTGAACTCCGAGTAAATATTCGCTTTTTGGTATTGTCGTTGAAGGAATCAACCGGAAGAGCTTTCCACCATTAATAACTCAACACTATCGGAAATCACATACACAACGGAGAAGGATGTTGACTGCAGACTCTGTTCCTTGCTGTATTCGCACAAAGTAAGACCGATGGGACATTTTACACGACAGTTTGCAGCAAAAAACACAGAGGTTCTTCCGCATTAGGAAGGCAGTCGACACTTGTGAACGCTGCTTTTAAGCTGAATAACATGGTCCACATCCAATATAAAATTTTGTGAACCTTATATATCCTCTTCTTTACGGCTTCTCGAACTGGATGTCTATCCTATGATGAAAAGTAAACGGCTTGCGGTTCAAAAAACTACGATTTCATGTGACAGGGCAAACAACGTTATCAATTATTCAGGAAGTGAGAGAGTTTGTATAAACCAAAATGTAGTCTACCTTTAAGTATAACGCTTGAAATAAACGCCATATATATAAATTTCTTCCATGTCCACTATAAAATAGATCCAACTTTGAAAGGGCATCATAAAAAACAAAGAAAACTTCAAACTTGCGAAGCAACCCTTTTAGTGGGATGTTAAGGAGCTCGCTCGAAATCCGACGCCGTGGCAGTAATAAAATAGCTATGTCACGTGACAGTAAATATAATTACACTACCTTGGTTATCTTTTGGAATTGAAAATTAATTTCAGAATTTCATTCAACATTTCATGAGATAGCATATCAACTTTTCATCGATTGACCGTGAAAACGTGAGAAACCGTGTGGTAGGTTGCGATGTATACGTTAAAAGTGGATCAAAATTCGCGTGAAACGAAACACGCATCATTGGCGTCTGCTTATCAAAGAAACCCTGAGATTTTTCGAAGCCGTATGATCTGATCACTATTGTATTAGTCGACATACAAGCGGAAATTAGATCGCACAAAAAACATTAGTAATTGAAATGGCCCTCCATTAGTGACCATTTTCACGGTTACGTATGGCGCTTTAGTAAATGGCAATACAACATTGGCATGTAGGCGTAACTGCTGCACATTTTGGGCCATAAACCACAAGACTTTGAAAATCTGACAAATATAAATTGGTGAGACGTTTAGACTTTCAGAAATTTCTTGCCTGTTCGCAATCTGACTCATACCACCAACGGCAAACAAAAAATGAATTTTCCCATGCGGCAGGTATTTTGTAAAATCCTCTCAGGGTTAAACTAGTCTCCTCTGAAAGAAAAACGCGATAAGACTCGCAAATTAGTTTATGACAGTTATTAACCCTGGACATGGCTCTAATATACGGTTATGTAGCTTTCCGTCCAAATTTATAAATATTTTATCTACGTAAATTATTTAGATACTCATTCTGCACCGAAAAGAAAATTGGTCTGAGGGATCTAGGTGAATGAAGAAAATGGGAAACGCTTTAGGTGCCGCGAAATTTTCGTCTCATTCTCAGCCTTCACGCGTCATGAGTCATGAAACGTACTGCAGTATATGACAGACAGAAGGATATTATTGACAGAACCAGTGGAGGCTCTAAGAGCCACTTCTAGCTTACAAGTTTTCATTAGCAGGCATAAGTAAGGCCCTGTTTGCAGTCCCTGAAGCCGGCACCAGTGCGCTAATGGTCAGAAGTCCGAACGTATAAACGCTGACTCACGGACCCGACGTAATGTCGATTTCATGCAGGTGTGTAAACAGATCGCACTGCGGACATATTTGTACCGTTATGACTTTGGGCTCAATCTAAAGCCTCGGCAGGCATTTGCGCGATCGCCAGTATTGAAGGAAGAATTACAATACTAATAAGTATAGGTGTAACTTGGATGGGCATTTCCGACATATTAGTTCTCATTAATCAGGCAATCCTACCTCAGGCTCTAATATCACCTGCGTCTGGAACGCGCATCAGTTAGATAGAGACTTAACGAGCTAACCTCTGAGTCGCAGGCTCATTACCCTGTCGTTGAGACTGGGTACTTAACTACGGTCAACCGGCTCCCACCGGTTGAGCAGCGGAAGTCACCGAAACCCTTGTTTTGTGCAAAGCGATACAATGCGCTGGTGGCAAAAGCACGCGATTTATAATACAAGCAGAATGAATGAGCGATCTGTTTAGTTCTCTTGCTGACGCACTTGTAACAAATTTGTCTAAAGTTCTCTCGACAGATAATCATTAGAGGTTATTTGGGGGAAGCTGGAACAATGTAAGCCTGAGGCACTAACGGTGGTAAAACACACAGTCTCGAAAGTATACAGCAGCAAGTGTTCGGGCAATTAATTCTGTTAATTCAAACTCTTGCAAGGGCAAGGAAACTGTAGCGAACGCTAAAGACAGATCCGTCAATCCCAGACTATGAATATCAGGATAAGACCAGAGTTACGAAAGAATTAACAATCAAAAGTCAAACGACCGGACAATCCAACTCATGCCAAGCACGTCGCGTCGAGTTATATTCCTTCCATTCAGTTAAACAACCAGTAAGTTCAATAATAAGGAACAGGTAGGGAAAGGCAAGATAGTCTGCCGCCTCGGCAAAGTATCCCCCTGCGAGACCGGAGGACGGCGAAAACGACGCCGAAGTATGTGTACAGGTCTAAAAGAAATGAGTGACCAACTGATCAGGAAGGTGTACATGACGACCACTGCGAGTGATATATACAGGGTCTGTAGAAGAGTGAATACATCTGGTGACGGAAGTGTTGAATTTGGTGGTGGCAGTCGGAGGTAGCGGACAGAAGGGTAGAGGGAAAATACGGGACGGTGGAAAAGAGGCTGCATGGGGGGAAGCAGATGGTACAGGACCACAGGGCTCATCCGGAGGAGTGTCAGGGACGGCAGCCTTGAGGCGGTCCACACTCACGACCTCTTCACGATTGTCGCACTGAATGCGGAAAGTCTTCAGCCCGCGAGAGAGCAACCGAAATGGGCCGTCATAGGGCGGTTGCAGAGGCCGGCGGACTCGATCACATCGAAGGTAGACGTGAGAGCACGTTGCCAAGTCCTTCTCGAGATAAGACGGAGAGGCGGAGGACCTGGGAGGAACCGGAGCAAGTGTCCGCATAAACTGCCGGAGGCGATGCAGGAGGTTGGTAGGAACCTCAACTGCACCCTGCGGGGTTGGCGAGATCATCTCACCGGGAAGTCGAACGGTGGCGTCGAACACCAGTTCAGCTGCGGAACAATCAAGGTCCGGCTTAAGAGCGGGCGGATGCCCAAAAAGAGGACCTGGGGAAGGTGATCCGTCCAGTTCTCCGGATCGGCCGTGGCGCGTAGGGAGGCCTTCAGCTGGCGGCGAAACCGCTCGACCATCCCATTTGCAGCGGGGTGATAGGCTGTTGTCCGAATGCGGGTACAGCCTAAAAAGGAGAGTAAAGACTGGAAGAAGTTAGACTCAAACTGGGCACCACAGCCAGTCGTGATTGTGGAGGGTGCACCAAAGATAGCAACCCAACGACTGAGAAAAGCCTTGACCACCGTTGGAGCAGCAATGTCTGACAGGGGAATTGCTTCAGGCCACCGAGTGTACCGATCCACACAGGTGAGGAGATAAGAACAACCATCGGACAGAGGCAGGGGGCCTACAATGTCCAGGTGAACGTGGCTGAACCTTGCACCAGGGCCGGGGAAGGTGCCAATGGGGGCCTTGTTGTGCCGCTGGATCTTACTCCGTTGGCAGGGGATACAAGCCCGTGTCCATGTTGTCAGGTCTTTGTGCATCCCAGGCCAGACGAAGCGGTCGGAAACCAGCTTGTCGGTTGCTCGACTTACAGGGTGAGAGAGATTGTACAGGGAAGAGAAAACTTTGCGGCGGAGGGATGGTGGCACAAATGGACGATGGAAACGGGTGGATACGTCGCATAAAATGATGCCGTTGCCAGTTGTCAGTGGTAGTTCCTGAAGTTGGAGTCCAGAAACATCCTCATCAGAGGGTGAACCGACACGGCGTTGTTCAACGGCCATCTCAGTGAGGTCTATCCCGGATGAAAGCTGAAGATGAGCAAAAGACGGCCTGGAAAGTGCGACAGCCACCTCATTCCATGACCCGTCAATATGGCGGATGTCTGAAGTAAACTGCGAAATGTAGTCCAGGTGACGGATCGCCCGGGAGGTTAGCTTGTCAGAGTGGGAATGCATTGCAAACGTGAGTGGCTTATGATCTGTGAAAATTGTGAACACTCTACCATCGAGTAAATCCCGGAAGTGCCTTACGGCACGATAAACGGCAAGAAGTTCACGTCCGAGTGTGCTGTAGCGGGTTTCGTCCTTGTATAGTACCTTGGAGACGAAAGCCAAAGGCACGATAGGATCTGGCGGACTTTGTTGAAGAACCACGCCAACAGCAACATTGGAGGCATCGACCATCAGATATAGGGGTGCATCAGCATAAAAGTGAGTCAGGAGGGCGGCATCAGCCAAAAGGGCTTTTAACTGCTCAAATGATGTGAGTGCTGTTTGTATAAGTTCAAAGGTGCGCTTAGAACCTGAGAGGAGAGTGGTCAGAGGTAGGATAATATCGGCACAGTTCGGGAGAAACCGGCGATAAAAGTTCACCATACCAAGGAACCTTTGCAACTGACGCTTCGAGGTAGGGGGTGGAAACTCCCGAATGGCGGCAACCTTTGAGGGAAGAGGCCGAATGCCATTTGAGTCTATCAGGTGACCTAAGAACTCAAGAGAAGTGGCTCCTAGGACACATTTAGAAGGATGTTGGGTGACACCAAACAGCTGATATCGGTCGAAAAGCAGGGTAAGGTGTTTGAGATGTTCTTTGAAATATCGACTGGCGACGAGAATATCATCAATATACGCATAAACAAATGAAAGACCACGTAAAACACGGTCAATGAAACGTTGGAAAGTCTGTAAGGCATTTCGGAGATCAAATGGCATACGAAGGAACTCAAACAAGCCAAGACGAGTCGTCACTGCCGTTTTGGGAATGCCCTCAGCCGCAATCGGAATTTGATGAAAAGCCCGCACCAAATCGATCTTTGAGAAAACGGTTTTGCCACAGAGAGCTTCGGCAAAGTCCTGAAGGTTAGGAACTGAATACTGATCGGGCATAGTGATATTGTTTAGGGCTCTATAATCGCCACAAGGGCGCCAATAATCGGTATTTGGTTTAGGAACCATGTGCAAAGGAGATGCCTAGGGACTGTCAGACTGTCAAATAATCCCTAGTTGCAACATGTGGTCAAATTCGGCTTTGGCAGCCGCAAGACGAGCGGGTGCAAGACGGCGGGGTCAGGACAAAACGGGAGGACCAGTCGTTATTATACACTGAACAATATCATGGGGCAATGAGGTGTCAGAAAAAAGAGGCTTAGAGAGAGTAAGATATTTTGCTAAACGTCTACGAAATTGACAGTAAGGGTTTAGGTCAAGAATGGACAGATGGTTAGAAGTTGAGGATGGAGGAAATCCTTTGACGGTGATGGTAGTTGCGCGATCATGGAGGCTAAGTTGTCTGCAATCCACCAGAAGGTCAAAGGCGGCTAGAAAATCAGCACCAATGATGGCGATGGGAACATCAGCCACTACAAATATCCAGGGAAATAATCGCCTGAGACCAATATCAACGGAAAGGGATCGAAAACCAAAGGTTGTAATGGGGGGGTGAGTTTACGGCTAAAAAACCATGGTTTTGTTAGCGTTGGTCGGCTGGCGTGGGAGGGATGACACTAATTTGAGTGCCAGTGTTCACTAAAGAGTGCCTGCCACTCGTGTTATCACGGATGTAAAAAGTGCGACTCGTAGAGAGAGCTCGGCCGAATTTACTCTCCTGCCGAGGAGGTTGCCTGCGTGGACTTGAAGGAGCAGGGTGGGACACAGCGCCGAGCCTTGTCGTCATAGTTGACATGATACCAGCATAGGTTTGCGGTCTTGCGGCGTGAGCGGGAACGACGACGGTCACGGCCGAGGGAACGTCGAGAAAGACCGGGGCAACAGAGACGCTGACAACTGGGCAATCTGTGTATTAAGTTCAGCCAGGTCAGATGTGGACACGTTGAGAGACTGGGAAACCTGAGCAATCGTCGGGGATGACAAACGCACAACCTCCATCATACGGTCCGCCATCTCCGCTAGCTTTGATATGTGTAGGTCGTCTGAGCCAGAGGCCAATACTGTTTGTACCGACGTCGGCAGACGTTCTAAGAACATCTCTTTAAAGAACTTGTAGTCGATGGCCATGTTCCCAACGAGAGAACGCATACAGCGCAAGAGTTCCGACGGTTTGCGATCATCTAAGGACTCCTCCTTTCCCAGTGCGGGATAACGCTGCCGATCGGAGACGGATGTCAGGTGAACGAGTTCATCCTTTAACTTGGTGTAAGGAGCATCAGTTGGGGGATCTCGCAAAAGCGTCTGCACTTGAGAAAGGATGTTTCGCGCGTTATCGTGGCGGAGCGAAATGTTGCCTCCATACGAAAAAAATAATGTGCTGCCGCATGCTGCCAAAAGCCTGGGAGAGAAGAAACAAGTCCACTGAGTGAATTATTGGCATCGTTGAAATTCGTAGAGGTTATGATGGTAGAAAGAAGGAAAGATATCAAAATGTATGCAAACAGAAAGTCAGCAAGTTAAAGGTATAGGCGCGAACGACAAAAGGGTCACCATTGTAGAAAGAGGAGTGTAGGTCGACTAGAAAAAGATTCCTAAACAAAGGTCAGGGAAGACATTTTGAGTCGGACAACCTTTCCTGTTAGGAAGTGTCTACACCAAGGCTCTGTAGGCGGTCGCCGAGAGCGTGCTCTCCCGACAAGTTGCTGTTTGTGTCCGCCTTCGAGCTGTTGTGTCCCAGCGCGTGCGCGCCCTCTGTTGTCTACGCCTCCGCCAGCCAATCAGAGGGGGACAGCGTTGATTGGCCTGGAGCACTCGCGAGTATAGCGACAAGCCTCGCGAGTCCCAGCAGCATATCGACAAGGAGTGTGAGGCATACAGGAAGGCAGCGTGACAAAGGCGGAGGGAAGGAGACGTGAACTGCCACAGGTCCGCCCGTTAGCACCCGCGATCTCCTTTGTAACCAGCACGTCCCGCTGATCTCGCCTCCGGACCATGACATAGTCCAGCAGGTGCCACTGACGCGACCGAGGATGCCTCCAGGTGGCCTTCTCTCGCTCCGGCAGACAGAAGAAGGTGTTCGTCAGCATGAGCCAGTGTACTGCACAGGTGCGGTGAAGAAGCAGGCCGTTGTCGTTTCAGCCACGGAGACCGTGGGGACCCAGCACTTCTCTCCAGGCAGTATGGTCTGTGCCGACGCGGGCCTTGAGGTCACCAAGGACAATCAACTTGTCCGCCTTCGACACAGTCGGCAGGAGTGCGTGCAGGTCCTTGTAGAATTGGTCTTGCGCGGCGTCGGGGCTGGTCATCGACGGAGCGTAGGCGCTGATGATGGTGGCGAATTTGCCTCCCCAGAGAGGCAGGCGGAGGCTCATCAGGCGGTCGTTGATTCCCTGCTGCAAACAGGGCAGTCGTCCCGCGATGGCGGTCCGGATGGCGAAAGCGACGGCCGCGTCTCGTCGCTCTGCCCTGGGTCGACCACTCCAGAAGAAGGTGTAGCCGGCACCCACCTCCTCCAGTTGGCCTTGGACGGAGAATCAGGTCTCGCTGAGTGCAGCGATGTCCATCTTGTAGCGCGCCAGTTCCCCGGCCACTAGCTCCGTCCTCCGTTCCGTTGGGTTGATCCTCAGATTGTCTAAAAGGGAACAAATATTCCAGGTTGCCAGAGTGAACGAACTCACTCTGCCAGCCTGGCGACTGCGGCGGCGAAAAGTGGGAGGAGGGGAAGACGGAGAATAGGCAGCAGGAGGAGGAGAAAGATGTTGTTGTTGTTATTGTTGTTTTGGTTTTGGCTGTTTCGACCTTGTGTGTTTTGTCTGCGGCCACGGCCAGCCTGCAGACAGCGTAATTCCCAGCGATTTTTAGGCACCTTTTCTAGCCCCTTCCCACTGGCGAAGGCAGCCAGCGCATCCCTAAATAGGGCTGCCCGGTTATCCCAGACGGCTGCCGAACTCTAATGTGGGCCACGACTTTTTGATAGTGAGAGAACGACCCGAATTAGCCTGAGACCTTGGTGGTGATGGTGAAGAAATTGATGAGTGGATACACACAACAGAACGCTTTGGGACTGACAGCTAAGGCAGACAGACAGACATAGTCAGCAGTCAAGGACATGACTAACGGGCAACGTTCGGAGTCAGGCACAGTAACACCATGCTATTAGCTGAGAGATGCACAGACTAGCAGATACGGAGCCGGCAGCAGTAGCAGCATACAGCACACACCACGGTTCTTAAGGAGGCAGGTAATACACGTGAGGAATGGCACCATTTGAAAGCAAGCAAACTAACCTCTAGAAATTAGCAGAAAGATGCACAGACAAACACATGCACATAAGCAACAAGTGCAGAAACAAGGGCAGACAAGACAGAGCATAAGCAGGCAAGTAGGGATGGTAACAGTTTCAGTTTCAGTTTATTAAGGGAAATTTAGGCGAGCGCCTTTGAATTCCCTATTGGTTACAAGTCGTCGGAGAAAAACACTGATAGTGGGAATGTGAAAAAGGGGTTTTGTACATAATTGCCGACAGCTAGTCAAAAAGAGTAATCAAAAACGGTTACTAACTAGTTACAAGTAGTATAAACAAGCTTAAGTTGGTGTCGGGTTATGTGAGTGGATGTAAGGCTGGTAACTGGGAGCCTTGATGCGCGTCAAGTCTAAACTTAAAGGAATTCACACAGGAGGAGTTTGCAACATCGGTGGGCAGGGCATTCCACTCTGCAACCACTCTGTGCCTGAAAAAGAATTTTCTTCCATTGATCCTTGCTGTCACGCGCGTAGTTTTAGGTGATGACCGCGCAAAGTGGGCGTATTAGATTGTGTGAAATAATCAGTGGGATCTAAACAACAGTCTAGGCCGTTGATAATGCGAAATGCAAGTATAAGGTTCACTTACCTGGCGGACTCCTGCAATGACCCAGCCGGAGCTTCCTCTCGACGATGTCGATGAGTGGATCCATCGGCCAGCGGAGACCACAGTAACGTTTGTGCGCATATACACACGGATACCCTCACCTGGTTTAGCCTGCCGGTCGAGGCGGTTGCCCGGGGTGTGGCCGCTGAGCAGAGCCCAGCTACGTGGAGCCACAGGTGAGAGTTGGGTGCCAAAAAATTGACGTTAGGCGTAGTCTCACCTGCAAGCAAGTGAGCGACCACAAGGACCATCACGTGAACACACTGCCGGACACACCTACATTTGTGAAGTGGAATATCTGCACTGCAACTGAGTAAAGAGATTTCAAAATGGGACGCACAGCTAATGTGGGCTGGCTTGCCGTTCTGCTGTTAGTTTTATTGGAGACGTATCCGTTAACGACATTTGTAAACGCCTGCCAGCCAAATGAAGAGAGATCATCCGATAAAACTAAGCCTTCGGGTGAACTACCAGGTTATATTTTGGTTTTATTTGAACATTTCTGCCGTGTTGCATATTGTTAATATCTAAAATGTGAACTGTAAAGTTGACGATGATTTGATTTCAGGTACTTCCAGAATACCTTATGTAATTTTATCATTCATAATTACTGAGATACCTAATGTAAACGCATTTGATGTATATTTCAGTTAACTCGCGCCCATTTTTACGCAGAGTCATTTTAGGAAAAGTAAGCCAAGCTGTTGAATATCTAATGGGGTACGTACCATTACTGGTATACGGTAAAACGGAAAACAAGCCCACTGATGCAGTTTTCACAATAATAATCCGCGTTCCTCCAATCGGCACCATTTGTCGACTTTTAAACAAGACGTTACCAAGTAATCTGGAAACGTTCGAGTATGAACTTTCCTATTCTCGCCTTACGCTGCAGTTTTCCAAAACGGTTAGTAAATTTAGTTCTACCATTGTTTGATCATGGGGATAGACATTGGTTTGCCTGATTATTTATTTCAGATGCCTATCCTTATTGGTAGTAAATACCGTGCACCAATCACAGGTGGATTTTCTTGCGATTTAACTGGCGTTAACTCAACCGCCATTGCGCTACTACGGTACACTTCTAACA